GGAGTATATATGTATTCCCCTATATATATATATATATATATATATATATATATATAAGCATTCTCCTATACACCAAAATTTTATGACAAAAAAACTACTCATTTCTTTTGATTTGGTTAATTCGTACAAAGGATATTATAGTAATTTAATTTAATTTTTAATGAAAATAAAATATTTTCTCTCTTTTATTAATTTTATTCTCCAATTCATTTATTTTTTCTATTAATTAATTTTTATTTGTTTAGAGAGAGAGGGAGGAGACATCATGAGAGATGAGAGAGAAATGAGTTAAAGAAAGAATTTAATAGGAGAGAGATAAATATGTTAGAGAAAGAATTTAATAGGAAAGAGAAATAAGTTAGAGAAGAAATTTAATAGAAGAGAGAAATGACTTAGAGAATGAAGTTAATAAGAGAGAAAATATTTTATTTTTATTTATTATTTGTCTGATTGAATCCAATCAATGATATTGTGTTGGGTCTAAGTCATATTGAATCCAATTTAGAGTGATCAACTAACTGATTATAGCCATTTCACTTCTTAGTTTTCCCTCATTGATAGCTTATGTTAGAAAATAATATGAATTATGCCTTGTCATAACTAGCATAGTTTTTCTTTTTCTTTTTTAATAGTTTAAGTGAGTTGAATCTCGAAGATTAATCATGATCATAATATGTATAGTTTGGATGTCATAATAGTTTTCTTATTTGATGAGTTATTTGTTAGATTTTCACATCATTGATTTCATCATCTGATTCTTAGTCTTTGTACTTTGGTTCTACTTATTATAAACACCAAGTCGATCCAATTGAATGGAGACAGATTGATTTGTTGATCCACCAATTAAAAGCATTAGGATGTAGTTTATCAAGTGGAGAATTGACAGTTGTAAACATCTATCTTTGAATTTATTTTCTATGGCTCATTGAAAATTAGTGAATAATATATTGCAGGTATGATGACATCACTACTCAGAAATGGATAATGATAACAAAAAGTTGAACTTTCTTTGATTGAAGTATCACCAAATCCACTACACGCTTTACAGTGAAATCACAATGGAACTAATGCAAAAACTATCAAACTTTTCGAGTCCTCCTGTGGCGGCACTACCAAAATTTCCTTACACATGAATGAAGAAATGAAGCTGTACAAAAAATGTGCTGGTAGGAACATGCAAGAATGCAAATCTAAGGGATGAAAAAATGAATAATCCTCACAACCGTCTTATTGGAAAGAATGTGGCCTAATCTTAGATGGCAAATGGCCATTCACTTTTTCATCAACATCAACAAGGGTACTCAAGAATAAGAATCTTCTGTTGAGAAAGGATTTTTATCACTGCACTGCAGTTTTGCCACTGATAATCCTCAGCAGGTGGAAACACGATGAGAATGAATCATATGAGGGGTTGCCAAGTTCTGGACAAGGTTCTGGGAGCACGGAATCTGAAAATCCGGACACATTTGAGCAATTCCATGTAATAGGAGAAACAGAATTTGTAGACAAGGTTATGTTGGAAAGGCATATATTTGTGAAAGGTGATTCCTCTATTCCAGCAAGGTTTCCAGCAATGGTAATATTTGTACCTGTGACATCCTTCAAGGTAATGTGATCCAAATGTGGAAGTGCATTTGGATCAAACTTGTCATCAGGATGAGATCCACAATTACCTGTGGCAGCAATTGCTGTATGAACACTCTCCATTTGTATGTCTGATATAACAATTTCCTTCATATAACCACCTCTTCCTTTGGTGGTTCTGAACTCAATGCCACTATTTGAGTTGAAAAGATGAGCATGCTCCACTAGAACATTTGAAATGCCACCAGACATGTCACTGCCAAATGCAAGAGCAGAACCAGAAAATGCATGAAGATGCACCCTTCTGATGTGTACATTCTCAGAAGGCCTGCCATAGGCAATGCCATACTCATCCCAGCCACTTTTGAGAGAAATTGCATCATATCCCATGGAAACAATACAATCTTCTATACACACATTATCAGAAGAATCTGAATACATGAAGTGCACAAAGGTTACAAAAGTGACCCTAAACAAAGTTAGGTAAGGTAACGATATTTTAGATGCAATGTCATTTTCACAAGGACCAAAAGTAGAGTGTATAATAATGATTAATATGTTTTTTACAAACCTGGCACTATACCAACAGTATAAGGGGATTCTGGAGGAGTGGAGATTGAAACATTTTGAATATGTACATGGCTGCATCAGATTACATACACTTAATCAACATGACATTTTATTTTCTGGAAAAATAATTATCATTTCATTAATGTCTAGAAGCAGCACAGAACACATACCTGCAATAAACTGGGTGTATGCTATAAGCTGGGGCATTCAAGAATGTAAGATTTGAAACTACCACATAATCAGATGCAACAATTTCAACCAGATGAGGACGACTGTGGTTCAAGGAATGAGAGCTATACCACTCCCACCAAACCATTCCCATGCCATCAATGGTTCCATTATTACCTGAGGAATCCAATAAACTTCAATCAAGAAACAGACCCATTAAAGGGTTGCTAGAAAGAAACAAAATCATGGAACACGACAAAACCTGTTATAACCACATCATGTAACATGTATCCATTTATCAAGCTCTGATATCTTCCCCCAGGAACTTCTAGCCCTCGGCCATAAGAAGGCAAGGGCTCAACAACATCCCAATGAGATGGATCCTAAACATGGAATAACAACATGTAAATACCAAAAACCATATTAAAAACACTCCTCATGTGAGAACACGAACCATCTCTATATACAAAAGGATCAGCAGAAAAAAGACAAGATCAATCAAAAGCTAGTGAAAAAAGAAGCAATATATACCTGAGTGCCAATAATGACAGCACCTTTTTCCAAAAAGAGGGTGAGATGACTGGTAAGATTGAAGCTTCCAGTGAGCCATTTTCCCGAAGGCACATAGAGCTGAGCACCACCCTTATCAGCAAATGACTTGAGATAGAAGATGGCATTCTGGAATGCAATAGTGTTGAGTGTTTTACCATCTCCAACTGCACCAAACTCCAAAATGGAGACACTGTGTGGTCTGGGGTCTAGTGTTGGGTTGGAACCACATTGCCCACCATCTCCATTAACTCTCACGGCATTGCTCAATGCCAACAGCAAGAGCAATGCCACCTGAAAGAGGGTAGAAAAAGCAAAACGCAACCCATTGATTCTCAGAAGATATCCTACAAATACAATAATTAACCACAGGATTATATCCTATATTAAGATTTATGAGCCACACACACAGAGAAACCAAAGCCAAACATAATTCAATTGGATTAGAAGTAAAGAATCTCATCATTGACCAAAAAATTCACTCCAAACAGAGTTTAAAAGCATCTCTCGTTGCCAAAAGAATGAAAAATCACACGCCAATAAATGAATCTGTAACGGCTGAAAATGATTTGGGACAAATTCCACATCAAGAGAGAATGCAAGTTTATCGGATCAAATTCCATTCCATTTGATCCAATCCCCCATCATCTACAGCAATTACCATTGCCACATGCCTAACAAAAGGAACAACAAAACCAGACCCATCTCAATGGAACACGGTTACTTGGACTCAAACATCAAAAACCAAACCAAAAATTGAACTTCAGAATGCCCTCTTAGTTATCAACGATTCCCAGATTTGAAAACAGGCTAAAAGGCAAAGACAACATAGAAAAACAAAAACCAAATAACCACAGAAGAATGAACCATAAAAACGTACTTACAAGCATCTTCTTAGGTCAAAGCTGGCAACAGAGTCAGAGTCCAAGGGAGACAAGAACCGGCGCTAGTGCCAAAGCAGAAACAAGTAACCAAAAAAAAAAGAAAAAAGAAAAAAATTGCAGAAGAAGCAGAGAGAGAAAGAGAGAGAGAGAAGGAAAAGGAGGAAGAAGAACCAGCCACGGGAACAGAAGCAGCTTTATTCAGTTTTGTGAGTATTATTATAAGCATTAATCTACGCACAGAAAAGGAGAAGATTAATAGTCCTTTCATACATGGACATGTACACACATATATTCGGTAACAAATTTCTTTTTTCTTAATGCGAAATCACAAATATAAACCATAATGACAACTTTTCTTTTTCCATGCACATATTAATTAATTAATTTAAACAGAATAATGTGGAAGAGGAAAAAGGGGCGTAGGAAATGAGCAAGGGTGGTGAAGTGGGGAAGAGAATACTAATAATAACGGGACAAAAAAAAAATAAAAGCAGAAAAACAGGTAAATTAATTGCAATAATTGGGTATTGCCCCTGTTAATGAACATGATTAATAACGTCTCTCGCCGACAAAATCGTTTGAAACGGCCCTCATAGATTGTGGCTGCAGTGAGTGAAGAGAAAGAACAGTGCGTGGTGTTTTGTTTTCACATGTCAGAAATTTACGTGTTTTTATTGTGTGCCTATGTGTTGGTGTTAGCAATTAGCATCTAACAAACAACGTTATTGTGTCACTAACATTCGTGTTTGAGCTTATGACATGGGGAATGATAGGGTTAGCATGGTTGTCGCGGTGGGAGTGCCACGTGTCGGCAAACGGGAGGGTGAGGAATGGCAGGAGAGGCTCCCCTGAGCGACACGTGGAAGGTTGCAGGGAGGGGTGGGTGAGGGAATGAGAAAGGGGTTTGGGGCACAGAGCATGTGGATTGACAGAGCAGAAATGGGGGGTTTGTGGGACCCACACCAATCATGGCACAGATGCTAGCCTGGCTTCACTCACAATTGAGTCATGTTCAATTTTAGTCAAAATTAGTAGCAAGATAATCATGTATACCATTGTTTGTGTGTGTCAATCATACTATCTACTCACTTAGATGCATCACATCACTCATTGTTTTTGCCTCAGATTCCTGTTTTGGTTTCTAGTTTTCTTAGGTTAAATAAAAGGTTGCTTGGTCTTCCTGCTCAAGAAGTTTTTATTTATTACTATATTAAATGTTGTAATTCAAAATATATATATATATATCTTATTAATGCATACTAAATTTGACAATAATAAGATCGAGCTTACACGTATTTAATACTTGGTATTTAACGTAATGGTTAAGGTAATGTGGATAACTATTCCTCAAATACAATAATTTTCCTTTATTTGTTTCTTGTATTGTAGTTTTTGTTTTAATTAATAAATATTAATTCATTTTGAGTAGTTAATATCGAAGTTTTAAAATTAGATCGGTTGGTTTAACCAGTCTGACTAGACACCAATTTGATGATCCATATGTTAACTCCAAAAATCTGCCCAAAGAAAGAAAAAAAAAATTGCAATAGTAGAAATTGCACCCGTATGACATCATCCTATAGAAAGTAGAAACGCCACTTACATTAGAACTAATAAGAATCAATAATTTAAATAATAATAAAAAAGACAAATTGGTGGTGGAACTGGCAAAAAATAAAATTAGCCTAAAGAATTGGTTTCAGCAAATACTTTTTATTCGATGTAAAATGTGCATTATTTTTTAATATTAAAAATATAAATTTAATTAATATTAGTTTAACTATGAATTATTAAATTATGAATTAGTACTTTTGTAACACTATATTCTTTTTTAATTATGTCTATTTGTGATAAATGTAATTAAAAATATATTTAATATTATTTGGTTGTTTTTAATTTATGTGGGATGGGAGTTAGGGTTAGAATAACTCTAAGCTTAATTAGTTAAGGATATACCTTAAGTGTATGAAAGTTGACTTGGAATGGCTAATGGATATAAGGTGAGTTTTGAGAAATAAACTTCATAAATTTGTAACTCTAGAATCTTAGAGAGGTGTTTTGGAGCTAACAAAGTCTAATCTTCGATCTAATCCCTTTGAAAGACTTTTTTTTCGCTTAATTGTTAGTTGATGTGGTAGAAGTTGAGATTCAAGCTGAGGAATTGGAAATCTCAGAGAAAAGTTGTCATACGAGAGTTTAGAGTTCTTGAGTTTGCTTCCCTTCTTCCTTATTTTCTAGAGCAATTAAGGTTAGGAAATTTCTTTGTTTGATTCTTTGAAGTTTTTGCATGTTACAATTTTTGGTGATTTGTCCATTGATGACTTAATTTATTATTTTGAGGTAATCGTTGAAAATGATGAAATTGGAGATTTTGGGATTGATGAACCAAAACCCAAGATTGATGATTTCTTGGTGTAATTATGTTGCATGTTGAATCAAAGGTTGGATTTGTGTTATCTAAGTTGTTTAAAAGACAAAAAGTGTTTTCAAAAAAAGATATTACAAAGATTCAAATATCTTAATTCTAAGTATGAAAAATGATATAAGTTTTCTGACAGAAATAATGAATTATTTATATGAATAATTGATTATTTTATTCTTAGCATATTTGAAAATAGTTTAATCAATTATTTTGAGCAATAATCAATTATTTCAAAAATTAATTTCTAAAATAATTGATTATTTTGTTGAATAATTGATTATCACAATAATTGTTTCTCAAGTTACTAAAAATAGAACAAATAATCGATTATTACTTAAGATAATAAATTATTTTAAGTAAAAATTTAATATCTCAATTTTTCATACCATTTCTTTTTACAAATCAATTTTAAAACTTATTTTCATCACCAATTATCATCTAGATATATATAACTAAGTTACTTATCAAACACAAAACATACAAATAATAAAACTCTAAACACACAAACAAACTACAATTTATACTTTTTCTTTCAAGAAATTCAAAACACAAAATAAAATATAAATTACACTCTTTTCTTTCAAAAAAAATTTTATTTGTAATCATCAAAATTATTAAAGATCATATCTTTATATTGAACTTGATCAACAACATTAACAATTATGATTACAAGTAATTTTTTAAAAATATCTTTTTCAGTCTTATCTTTTCACAAATTTCACTTTTATTCTCTCAATAATGTTTTTGACCTACCTTAGTCTCTCATATTTTCATGAAATTCACTTTTTCCCCTTAACAATTTGTTGACCCGTATTATTCCATCAACTATTATTTGTCATTGTAGCATCAACTATTTTTTAAAAGGGTGTACTGGCTTTTTCTATAAAATTCAAAAAAAAAAGTATACTGATATATACAGTTTATGCACATTATCATATATATTTTTTTCTTATTTAAATTTGTCATTTTCTTATCTTCATTCTTTTTTATTATTCAAATAAGCTGCTTAAACACCAGAAATATTTTTTTTTTCGATATTTGAACCTTAACATTGAATTATATATTACTATAATTATATATTCAAGTACAGTTAATTAATCATACATAGCCAACAAATTAATTAAGATGCGAAGAATGTAGAGAAGTGTGGGCGAACCCCTAGTTTGTTCTTTTCTTTATGTTAGTCTTCAGAATCCACACCCCTACCCTCAACAACATTCACTTCTCTCTGTCCCACGACGGCCATCTTTAGAATAGGAACCCTAGACTTTTAAGGCCATTTATTAATGGACTTATTGTTCACATCTTCAATGAAAATGACCAAAAATAAAATCAAGAAAACACAAATGGGGAAAGATGCTAGCTATAGCTAAAGCAGATAATTAATTCCTATAAGAATAACACACCAAAATTCATGACTTTTCACATTCAAAATCTCCGTTCCCTACAACCATATATTCCTCACTACTTTTTTACACCACACCAAAAGGTAGCCATAAGCCAATTCAAAATCCATATACGGGTTACATTGCTTTTTAATGGTGGCACATGTGGGGCAGTGTTGAACAATACAGCACCTCACATAGCTTCTATAACTCATGAATAAATTAGTCATAGAAAATTCTCATTAAGATATAGATTAATTGGGTGTTAATGTTACAAGTGTTATTCTAATTAAGGTAAGAAAATTCATCCCCCCACAATGGCTAAATCAATTAGCATATTATTTTACTTTTAGTTAATTTGTTTTTTTGGCAAAGAACAATATGATGAAAGATTAAAGCTAACTAGGTTCTTTAGTATGATTGTTGTCCTTCCAGCAGTATGATGATGCTTTCCTATGGTAATGATAAAATGTTTACAATTTAGTTCCAAGGAGGCAAGGATACTTAGTTCCTAAGGGATATATATTTGTAGAATCATGCAAGATGTTGCCAAAAATTAATCTGAAATGACTTAATTAGATGGAAAAAAATATATATTGACTTCTAGCTTCCATTAATTCCCAGCGTTCAAACATTGTTTAATTAATTTGTAATATTCAATGTGGTTACCTGGCTTTGTAAATTGTAGTACTGGTTTGCATCTCTATTCAAACAGCTGTATCCTGCATGGCAATGGTATATGGTCTAAGGTTTGCTTGCTGTGTATGAAAAAGAAAATACATTGAGACAACCTTAAGCTGTCTGTTCATTTTCTTTATAAAGAAGGAAATTCAAAAGTTCTGCCAATAGTAGAAAGTCCCAATCTCCTTTGTCATAATTGCACAGCTAGCGTTTGCTTTATTTTTTTCTTCCATGGTCAAAGTTATCACATATCAATAAGACAACCCATTTCATGCAAAAATTTTCACTTCAATTAACAAGCATAAAGTTCAAACATAAAATCTTATCTACGAGGGTGGAAACTAGTTCTTCTCAATTAAATTTAATTTAAACAGGCATCTTAATTAGAATCATTCGTATATATATGTATAAGTTACCCAAGATTTAAAAAAGAAACGTGGCTTAATTGAATTATATATAAGTGCATGTGGTGATGTGACATAACACAATAAATAGAGTGGTGGTGCAAGTATTAGTGAAAGAGGAAACTGAAAAGCAAGATGAGAAGGTATGAGATTTTTGGTGTGGTGTGAGGAAAGAGGGCACGTTATCTGTGGTACGTGCGAAGACAGGTGGGGAATTAAAAAAATGTTTGAGTGGTGAAAAAGTTGCACATAAGCACAAGACATGAAATAAGTTTTGACAATTCCATAAGTCATTTTCTGTAACAAATTATTCGTGCGGAAAAATCCAAAAGACAAACACTGCAAACTGAGCTCTCTGTGCAAATGGTGTGATAAGAGTTGAGCCTTATTCTGCAAACGCAATAATAATGAAGAGAAGCCAAACTTGGCGTCTCCCTGTCAATTTACCTTCATCTATCTTCTCATTCCCATTATTTCAATTTACCTTCATCTAATTTACATCTTTAAGATCCACTTAACCTAATATATTATTCTATTATATTAAATTTAAGAGTTAAATATATTTTTAGTCCCTCAAATTTAAGATAATTTTATTTTTTATCCTTCAAATTTAAGACAAATTTATTTTTTAGTCCCTCAAATTTAAAATTATTATTTTTAATTACTGTAATTTTTAAAAATCTTATTCTAGTCCCTTAAGTCATCAATAATATATTTGAAAATAACTAGTTAAGATAGTTATGCAATATCAATCAAATTTAATGTAATATTTTCACTAATAAAGACACTAATATGTAAATTTTATGCAATAATATTTGATAAATTTTTTAATAAAATTTGAATATAAAAATTAAAATAAAATTTTTGAAATTACAAGATTAAAAATAATAATTTAAATATGAGGAACCAAAATCAAATTTAAAGAACTAAAAATATATTTAAGCGTAAATTTAATATTGTATATATAATTAAACCGTAAAATAAAAATATAGAAATTAAATTAAAAGATACTCCGTATTTTATAATAAGACATTATTAGTTCCAGCCTGTTTTTTTGACAGCAAACATTAATTCGAGTTGAGACAAGAATCACAACTCGAATCTCGAATCTCGAATCTGTTCAAAAAAAATATATATTGTGTCTAATTTTTTAAACGTTAATCCGAATTGAAAAGACGTGTTATATCTTACTCACCCTTATCTGCAGTTAATCAAAAACTTATATTTAATTGGTATATTTTTAATATAATAATTATAAAAATTAACAAATTTGTTATATAGAATGATTTGTTATTAAGTGAAATTCAAAAGAATAATGCTTTCGGGTACAATTTACGTATATATTAAAATAATATTTAGTGAGTGAAAATCATGGTCCAATTAATCTTTAATAGTTAATTTTGGGATATGTAAATTTGTCCCTAAAAAGATGAAATTCAAAAGTCTTTTAGATTGTCATAATATATATTATTTATTTTAAGTTTCTTAAGAGTCTGGCTTTTATATATTATTGGTATGAAAATTTTTACATTGTTATTAGAAATTATGATAAATATAACTTTTAATACAATTATTATTAAAACAAAAAAGTTACCATATTTATGACCATTTATAATTAAATATATTTTAAAATCAAAAGCGACAGCAATAGTAATCTAGTAGAAGTTAAAAAAATGTATTCTTTGTTGTCTTATAGCAGCGAAGGAATTATGAAGAAAAAGGATACGTACGAAAGTAAGAAGAGACAGTAAAAAGGAAAAAGTATGGATGATGTTGAAGTTTTTATATGCACCAAGAAGAGTTAGTAAAATTGATGATTTCTTCCCTGAAAATTCCCAATTCAGGAACTCCATTATTTGGAAGAGGAACAGAACTGAAGTGGCATGATGGGTGTCACATTTTTCTAGTACAACAAGATCCGAAGGTTTACTTAGAATCTTTGTTCTGCTTTCTGGGGCATCTCATTAGAGTTAGATGTCTTGTGAAAGGACCAGTTTCCAATTTCCATGGCTAGAAAGTAGAAACTGGTGGTCAAGCATGTCCTTTGATTCCTTTCTATGTGCATCATCTTTGCCACCCTTTTTTGGTAGCTAAATATTGCAGTGGTAGTAAAACATGGTATATATTTACTCTTTATAATTTATAGTATATGGTACTATGATGCGTGGATTACATTCTAAGGAAAATCAATTGACAGAATATTGTGTCTAAGCATGCTGTACTACCTGGTCCACAGTCCACACAAACAATATGACATGCTCTGTCTGCAAATTGAGATGTACACTTAATTTTTCTTTTATTATTTTTATGTCATTTTTCCATGATTTAATACACATTTATATAAAATGTGAAATTATTGTGATCCACCCAACAAAGGATAAGAGGAAATAATTAAGTATGCCAAACCCCATCTTAAGGTGTCAAGTGGTAAGAGGCATAGACAGAACATAATGAGAGGATGTTAATGTTATTGACTTATTATGCAACTCGTACTCATTGATAAATATTAATTAGTATTTAAAAGAAAAAATAAGGACACTTTTGAAGTACCTTTATCTCTTCCTACACATGAATTTAACACAATCACAAAACCAAATACCTTTGAGCTGCACGCTCGAGTGCGTTTTTGGGGCCAAACAGGTTATTTGTACTGACATTTAATACTTTGGTGATGTGAAGGACCACACATGCTCAATGTACTTGCATAGCTCTTTAACTTCACCATGGATGACAAACTGATGCAAATTATACTCAAATATTGATGTACTTAAATTAGCATTTGGGAATATTTCCGACACTAGTGTTGTATTTAATCCTATCAAAATTAATCTCGGAGTACATAAGCAACAATCATGACTAAAGTCACATTAAATTAAATTGGTACCTTCCAAGTATTATTGGGAATTTGGGATGAAGTGGTTATATAAAAAATTTGACACTTTATTTAAACTTTAGTATAAATAGATTATACATGACTTATATTTTACTTATACTTATATTTATATATATAATAAAATAAATGAGTTTTATTTTTGATCTTGAAGACTTTTTTCTTTATTTTCATTTTTTAAAAATTAAAAATTATTTTTTTTGGCTCATATTATTATTTGACACTCTTTAATTGTTTACATGTTGAATAGAAGATTAAGCAACCATCTTTGACATGTGACACCTATCGGAATTTGTAATATTATATTAATATATGATATTTCTAAAAAATTAAAATATCTAAAATAAATATTATTTATCCATCTTAAAATAAATATTAGGGACTGAAATTAGTGATTTTAAATTTTGAAAGGATAAAAGTTAAACAAAAATATTTTACAAGAAAGTTTATCCAAATATTTAAAAATAATGACTTTAAAATTTAGAGGAGTAAAAAATAAAAATAGAAATTGATGGACCCGAATCAAAACTAACATATTTTATAAGAATTAAAATTTATATTTAAACTTTTTATATAATCATTTTAAATAATTGATGATAGACAGACTGTATTGTCTTTCTCACTCATCTATATATTTTTATCCTGTGTTATTTATATTATCTGCGACTCTAGGTATTGAAATAACTTTAGGTCTCGACTACTGCAAGTAAAATCGAGCGAATTCAAGGGGACAAAATTCTCCTAACATCTATATATTTTGTTTTTTATTCACGCTATCTAATCTATGATCTTATTTAAGAAAAATGAAGAAATATAACTTAACTTAAGCAATTTATATTGGAACCCCTTATGATTTCATAATTATAGGATGAGATTGTGGATTGTGTAATTATTTAAAGATTGTAGGTCTTTCTAAACCTTGTTTCTTTTCCTGAGTAAACCTTGTTATAATTGTATAGATCCGTGCTTAGAAATTTTTTATAGTATGAAATTAATCTAATTACAAGGGTCCTTAAATTTAGCCAACAGTTGAAATGGGCTCTCTATTGACATGTATCTAATTAATATTTTAATTATAAACTTTTAAATCATTCTAACAATAGAAGTCAATGCTATATCTTGTAGATTCATATAGTTAAAACTTAATTTAAACTCAATTACCTATCAACTGTGTTAAGTCTTATAACGTATATATCTAAATTGATTATTATAGAATTAATTTTAAAACATAATTGAGGTATATATCTAAATTAATTTCGACCACAAATTTTACATGGCGAATGATGGGAGAATTATTATGAACATAAAACAAGCATGCCTATAATATGGTTTGATCAATGTTCTAAATATCCACTACCATCTAAATTTGTATTATTAATTAGAATTCATATTTTAAAATGTAAAACTTTAACTCTTGAGTCTCTATTAGATATTTTCAACATTTTTCCTTTTCTCTTTTAAAAGTACTCTTCACACACTACTCTTGTAATTAATTGAGCAAAAAACATCTTTTAATTGTCTCAAATTATGCTTCTTTTATCTCTATTTTCAGATTGATTTTCAATATTTTTTAAAAAATATCAATAATTAAAAATAATTTTATATTGCAATTGAAATTATTGATCGTAAATATAAAATATAATTTATATAATCAAAGATGTTTATAGTAAACTTTCAATTGTGTTTCTTATTATCTTCTAGCTTATAAATTAATTTCACCAAACACCCTAAAAACAGATAAATAGAAACTAGTAAGCTTATGACTATGTACAAATGAAGAAGTAAAAAAATTATAAAAGGCTTTAAAGTATATATTTATGAAGTGAGTTAGTGAGGCATTTAACTAATAAATAGTTAGTTGGAGATTATAAATCCAAATTGAGAGCCGTAATATAGCATCAAAATTGCAATATCTGCCGCGGATCTCGCCAGAATCTGCTGACACCTTTTTAGCCAACCAAACCAAAAAAAATATTCATACACGTGCTTTGCCCACAACTTTTCAACGTAAATGTGTCCACAAAGCCACAATTTTGTTTGATTGCCACCCTTATTAACTTGCTGGTTGCCGCTGATTACTCCACAAAATTTGTGAGACCAATTAAGCAAGTGGAACATTATGCATTTGTTATGAACGTTATGCATGCACTGCACCTAATGATGTTGGAACATTCACCATATGATAGCGCCAACTACCAACCCTTACCCCATCAGATCCATGTCACGAACACATTATTCTCATATCATTAAAGGCAAAATTTGCTAGATAAATGGCAATTAGTGCCCAAAAAGAAAAACAAAAGCTATTGAATAATCCATAAATCATTTCATTAACTTGGGTACTATTGTTGACTGGTATCAGATAAACACAAGTGAAACCAACAAAGTCTAACAGAGTTGGTAAATAATTAGATTCTTTAAACATGTTACTTAAGGTTCGATTCCCAAATCCCAACCATGTATACAGGAAAAAACTGTTGGAAGAGACAAAATCTAGTGATCTACACCCTAAACGAAACTTATCTGTAACTATCAATTGAAAATTCTTCGGTGCAAATTAAAAGAAAATAAATAAACACAAGTTCGATTAGTAAATGACAACTTTGAATTTTATTCATACTTTTCAGACTTGAGATGCCATTGGATATTTGAAGCAATTAATAATATCTTGTTTTAAAAGAGAAGATAATACTTATGTATTTATATGCACAAGGTTTCTCTACCTACACATCCTTGTGAGCAGCCAAACACTGTTGCACAATAAGAAACATTTATCCATAACAGTTTTACTATATATTATTGTATTAAGCTAAAAAAAACTAGGAAACTAGAACCATGCACATGAATCATATCATATCATCTTTAACGGGAGGTGCTCAGAGTCAAATTATTTTGTGGTGGAGGGTGATGCTGTCCTACCATTCTGCTGCATCGCACTATCAACACGTGCTTTAATTCCCCACCTCCCATCACACTCTCTGGGCTCAATAACCTTAATTGAGCCATCAGAAAGTCCAATTGCAAATTGATTTGGCTCCTGTGGATGTGCTGTAACAACAATAGGGTATACATTTTGGCTGCAAAAAAAAACTAAGGTTAAGGATTATTTTGATGGAAGGGAATCATGTAAAAAAAATTGGCTAGCTCGGTTGAACTTAAACTCTTAACTTCCCCAACTTGCAAGCTTTCATCAAAGTAAAACATGAATTAAAATTCTAAAGCATTTTTAAGGCACAAATTCTAAGCAAGGTTCCAAAAATGCACACTTCTAATTCTAGTAACAACAAACAAATGGTTATCACCACTTCCAACTGTTAATATGTGCCACAGGAAATACTCGTTATATGGCTTAGGCAATAAGTCCTCAAATATATATACGAGAGGAGCATTTTTATGTTAGAAGAGTAAATATGGGTCATATAATTATACATGGATGATCAAGATTATTTTTTTAAAAGTCACGTTATCACTTAAAACAGTTATTTTTATTGATAAATAAATAAATAAAATCACACTGATTTGTATGTCCTCTCATTTGATATGTCTCATATAGATAGATAAATAAAGTGTTGGAAAACCTGTTTAATGTGGTCTGATGTAGGTATGCTGATGAAGCTATACGGCATCTTAGTCTGAGGGTGTCAGCATCAAATACTCCAATATTTCCATCAGTGAAAGCAGCATAAACTAGTTGGCTATTGCATGAATATGTTGCTGATGATATGGAACCAAACAACCCATCTTGTGGCACCCACTATAATCCAAACATAAAGATGTTACTAACTCATTTACATGGAAGTCAAAATGTAGGGAATTTAATTATCATAAATTTCTTAAATCAAAGAGTGATTTTTCTTAATTTAAAAGAGGGGGAGGAGGACATATAAGAGTTTTGTTCTGAGAATTTCTTTTCTTGGAGAGAGTGGAAGAGGGAATAGCTGCTTACCTGCCGAACCAATTCCATTTTTGAAGCATCATATATTGCTAGCTGCGTCTCATGGCATACCAGCAAGTTTACTTGATCAATGTGGAATTGTACTCGAGTATCACCAACAGCTGCATTTCCAGCTGGCATTTGGATTGATAGTGATTTCTTCTTATCCCATGAGTCAATGCTCCAAAAGAAAAGCTACAAAGAACCCACAAATACAGCCAAAATTTTTCCTTTTTTATTATGAAATTATATTTCAAAAATGGATTCTCTCAATAAATATGATATAGATAGAATTTGAATCATAATGAAAAATAGATAGGACCACAAAGACATAAGCACAAAACAGTTACATAATAACTAGTGATAAAATGATAATTGAAATAGTTTAAATTATATGAAAATGAAAAAGAATAATATATTCATTTATTTAATTTAAGTAGCCAAAAACTTATTGTGATGTTGGGACTTGGAACAAAGCAAACACCGACATAACACTCCCATTTATTCTAGGTCAATTACAGCTGTAGTGCAACTAGTACAAGTTCAAGCAAGTAATGAGAAAGCCAATACAACTAAATTCTAATACTCTGCCATAATTTCACTGCATGAATTACTCTGGTATGAAACACGATGGACTCCAACAACTTTGATCGATACCAAAAATTGCAGATTAAAATTTTTTTGATTCTATTGGAACTTGGAATCTAAAATCTAGATGTTCATTTCTATAGCTGCATAAAATGAACCAAAAAAATCAATGTATATAGATAGGGAAGACAAAATCTGATGACAATGAGCAAACTGGGAAGTAAAATACCAAGTAGACCTAACGACTCACATAAACAGAAAGGGAAACACAAATGAGTTCCATATTTGGGATTACGGGTAAAAGGCGGAAAGGAGAAAAAAAGAGTATTGAAATAATTGAATAGGATTCAGAATAATTGTTTGTGATATAAAATACAGACCCACAAAAGCAACAACAGTTAACACAATACAACTAATAAACAGAAATCGTGGTTGAACACACCTGAGCATCAGCACCTGATGAGACCAAAATATTCAGTTGGGCTGAAAAAGCTAAACCAGTAATGCGCTTTTGGTGACCCTTCAATTTAGATTTGACCTAAACAAAGAGGTCAAATCAATATATGATTCAAGAAACAATTAGAAGTTAAACTTCAGAGAGCATCTTGAAGTAGTTACCTCATCTACCCTAACATTGTAAATATGAATTGTTGAATCTTCCATTCCAATTGCAATGATATTATTATCTTGTGGGTGAAATGCAAGGAAGGTTGAAATAGGGGGAGGTGGCATAAAAGTTGCCATCACCTGAAATTCAGCATAAATTTTCAGGTCTCTCAAACACTGAAATATTGCAAGATAAAAGCCTTTAATGATGGCACAAAATATGTTATAAGTTGTCATGTCACCTTAAATGTCATCATGTTGAACAATGAAATTTTTCCTCCACATGCAGACATAACATAGGAATCATTTTTTGAGAGTGCTATGCAGGGAACTGCTGCTTCAGAATTATCCGGGGCATCATTAGTCATGAGTAGACCACTATTTGGTTGCCAATGTTGTGGAATAACACTTGCCGTGGCCTTTTGAACAGACAGGAAGACTCATGTTTATGTGGATGATTGCATTAGACATAACAAAATACAAGCATACATATGTAACAGAAACATGTATATAATATAATATGCAGAGGCCTGTTATTTTTATAAAACACCAGGAAAGTGTTTACATATGTTTTGGTCTCAAGGAACAATCACCTTTCCACTAGGATTCAGTTCATTTCGGCTCCATTTCCACAGCCTCTGAATCCCTTTCGATCCAAGAGCAAGAAGACCAACCCCAGAATTTGTATAAAGAAGGCGAGCAACCTTGGTAAGAAACACAATTTTTACGAACATGAAATTCTTGATATTAAAACAGAAATATATTAATTAAGAATACTGTATATAAAAGGGAAGGTTTCATGCAATACCTTGTTAGTGGTGGGATCCATACTATCTGGCATAGTAACTGTTCGACACTGAACAGGATCAACTATTTCTGTAAATTCCCAAGCTTTAGATTTGTCAGATACATCATCCAAACTTCTTTTCCTCTCCATGCCTCTAGGCATAGAATCAACTCCATTCTGGAATAAAAAAGAATAACAGAACAATTCAGTGGGACACAACTGTCTAAAGCCAGGAGGTGCCTGGCAAAAACCTCTGCAGCATAAATCCATATTAATTTAATTGATTAAAGAAGGATGCAAAATTTGTATGTTAGGTTCCTCCTAATATATTCAATAGACAAATGCATTACTAATCTCAAAATAATAGTAAATGTCTGTCCTTCGTCATTTATATCTTACAAGGGTAGATGCCAGTCCAGCAGGAGAGTTTCGGTCCATATGTTCTATTTTATTGATGAGTGGACTGATATTTGTAACCACCGAAGAGCCAGGTACCTAATTTGTTGAGGTTGTACCCATCAAAATTGACACAGTAATAAAACCAGAAAATGATATTTATTAAAGGAGAAAGTAAGATGGAGAATTATGGCAGATAAAAACCTTTGTCTCAAAAGGTGCTTTAGATGCTTCATAAGACCGGGCTTCCATGGCCCTCAAGTATTTGATGCCATCGGAATTAGAAAGGACTTTCAAACCACCATCTGCTGTAGAAACAGCAAGCAGATTTCCTTCTTTATTGAACCTCAATCGAGGAAGACTCTGACACAAGGGATCAACCATATCAAACAATGCTCTAAAATGCATCAAAAGATGGAAAGTATATGTACTACTCACAGGAAGACCACCCTCAGCATCTGTACTAGTCAGAACATTGACATTATCCATATCCCAAAACTTAATCTGGTTATCTTCGCCAGCAGCCAAAAAGCGACCTTTTGTTGTGTCAAATTGCACAATGCCAGAAAATTTCTTTCTAAACCCAGAATATGTTCTTTTTAGTGCCCCTTCACTTTCATTCCACTCAACTAGGAAAGAATCTCCATCTTTACTTGTCCCACAAGAGAACAATCTAAAATAGGAAAGAATAGTTATAACTTACATTGTAACTTTCAGAGAAAAACCCAAAGAACTAAAAAATATATATAAGATCGACTGGATATATTTTGTGTATCATTCCTCGAATACTTACCTACTTCCATCAGCACTATAGAGCATCGTGGTGCACCATTGTCCAGGAGCATCATAGTCAACCCTGGAGCCCATGTCATCATATAACCAGGCCTTGATTTTCCCATCAACAGAAGTTGAAAATATAAACTGCATATATATGATGTCTAACTGTTATCAGTCAAACATTCAGTGCAACAGCCTTTAAAAGAAAGTAATAACATCATTTTCTCTTTGCATGTTTATTTCAGTCATCTTTCCAGAATTGATAACACATGAAACAAGACCAAAGTCTAGCTGTACAAAAGCATATACAAGCAATGGACATGATAAGTGCCCAGAAAATTGGCTTGCATTACATCCCACAGTAGTATGGCCAAATCTATACTAATCTTTAATTTTTCAAATTCTAACGTTATTAATGTACCAAAATTTTACATAATGGGATTCCTTTAGGTTTCATACCTTTAGTTAGAAAAATCCAAATAATCATACACCGTTTATCAATTTGTAACAAAAAAAAAAGTTCATTAATCAAGGAGGATATCTCAAAATCCAAAAATAGAAAGCCCACCACGTGAGGGAGGGAGTGTTAGGAGACTCTTACCTGGATATTTTCCTTCTGATGAGGACAAATAGAATAAACAGGTGCTGCATGACCTTCAAAGTTAAAGAGCTTCTTTCCAGTCAAATCCCATACCTGTAATACATTCCCAAAAATTAACAAGCGAGGATACATTCATCTAGCTACAAGCTAAAACAGACCAGAAACTAATCTGTCACCTTTATTAACTTATCATCTCCACAAGTTAGAATGCATAGCTGTTTGTTTGGGTTAGAAAATGCCAAGTCATTGACACCACCAACATGAGCATCAATCTGTAATGAAGAAGACATTAGTCAGAAATCACAAAAACTGTGTATTAAATTCACATCGGAAATTGATCTCAACATGCCTCTAAACGCTGCTGTAGGTCATTAGGTGCTTGATAGGCATACAAATGAATCAAATGTTTTGTAAAAGCAACCCCTGAAAAGAAGGGAAATTATATTATTAACCACCAATTAAGCAACAAACTAGAACCAAGTTTCCTTACAACACTTACCAATAAAATTCCCATCTGCACTCCATGATACACGACTGATAGATATAGATGACTCTTTAAGAAATGCAGCCTGTACAACACTCTCATTACTAAACTCCGGCATATCACATAAGAATATTGTGGCACTTACAATATATAAAAAACAAGTTACTTGAAATAAGCAAATGGATGAGAAGTGGAATGACAAACAAACCATGCCTTCATATTACCTAAACAGTTCCCAATGTTCATAAAGGTAAGGGTAGAACTTGTGCTGCAGGAAAAGGACGACCAACTAAACTACAAGATTGAGCAGATGTTGTGCAGCCATTGAACACATTTGGTCACTTGTGAATCCATAATCTGACCAAATTAAACATCCCCTCTAAATATATCTGCTTTCCTATTTTGAATTTGTAATACTAATAGTTTATGTTTCGATATTTAATGGTGAGTGAAATAGAATGGAAATGAAATAGTGAAACTGAAATGGAATGGATTAGAAAAGATCCATTGATGAGCAGGAGCAGTTATCAGGAGTAACATGATAGAAAACAAGTTACCCTGTATTAGCAGCTCTGTATTAGAAACTATCTGATGGCAGTTAAGTGTGAGGACTACATTTCATAAGAAGGTGTATAAGTCTGTCAATAGATAATACGACCTTAGTTTCTAGGAAAGGAAGTGTATTGATGTATTGTCTGTGCTTTCTGTGTTCAGTATTATATTTTACTAGTTTAACAATTGGTGTTCTATCAATTTATCATAATCCATCCTGGGGAATTAAGTGGATTTTTTATTTTGTTGATAACAACTTCAGATTTAAGTATTTCCCCCTAAATGGAAAAAAAAATAATAGAAAATTTTAAAAAAAGAATATCCCCCAATGCTAATTGCCTATAGATCTTAGCTGAAAAATGCAAAGTCAGTATGTCACAAATATGCAGTTGAATAGTGCAATATACACCTGAAATAAGACAGAACAAGCAGAAGTATTCCATATTTTGAAAGGCTTTGATATCAGCCTCTCTCTCTGACCAACTTCCCAAAGTGAAATTTCACCATTTGCACAACCAACTGTTTCAGAAATTATTTTTCCAAGTCAATATAGGACTGAATTTCATTATAATACAAGACATGCAGTCTATTTCAACCTACCTGTAAGAACGGAGTGAAAGGAAGGATGAAAATCCATGCTCGTTACTGTTGCTCCCTGATGTAATGTACAAACAACAGTTCTTGGAAGGTCATCAAACAAGCAAGAAGCTTGTTGAGGTGGAGCAGGATATGTAACCTACATAGATTGTAAACAGTTTCTATTATACTTATGGCAATTCAACTGCATGGAAAAGAAATCATGCCAAACTATTGTAAATACCTCATCAACAGATTGTGCAGTTCGCAACCGTTTCATTAGTGGCTCATGGTCATTGTTTTGATAATCCATCATTCCGAGAGCATTAGGTGTTCTTGCATGCTTCAAAACAGAGACTACAAGAAATTGAATAACATGTGAACTTAAGAATGGAACAGACTCAAACAAACATTCCAAGAACTAGTGTTTGAAAATCTATTAAAACCACATTCAATGGAGAATTTTGGCATTCCAATGCATAAACATAAAAGGAACTCTCAGGTGGGGTTGGAGTTACATACTTACATTCACCATAACTGATTTTCAAACACATATTTAATCATCCAAATGCTCAAGAGAATGGACAATAGAAAGATTATTCTACTAATTCTTCATCTATTACCCAGGACAATTGAGTAGATAAAAGTTGAAATTATATCCACATAAGTATCAGCATACAAATGAAAAAGCTTTCTATGAAGATTGGAGAGGAGAAATTAAATTATCCCTTACACATGATGAGAGGAAAAAACAAAGTCAATCTATTAAGAAATCAGTACAAGAGACTGTCTATGCACTTTGGTTGATTGGATGCTGAATACGTCATGATAATTGGATAATATCTAATGTACATATATGTGAAAGACATAACAGTATGTTTCTCCAGCAAACAAACGTCCCATTCCATTCTATCCACTGCAGACCGCCCACGCCAAGGGAAAAATTTCCTTTTTTACCTTTCTCATTTGTTTATTTTATAAACTTGAAATTAGTATATTGGAATATTGACTACTTCATAAATTAGTCTAATTATGATCTTTTGCCCTTGATGGAACAGTATGTTACATGACAACAAACTGACCCAGACATACCTTGATTTGGGGGACCAGACAATGAGGAAGCAGCGACTACAGGTAATTGAGAAGAAGTGGAAGGATTCCCATTCATCATCCATCCTGCTAAAGCATTAGCATTAGAAGCAACTGGGGCAGGTGTAAATGGCTGCACAAAATTAAGTGACATGAGGAAATGAAACATTCCAATGTAAAAAAATTGGAGATCTAATATTGTCAGCAACGATGATTCAAATTAAACAATTGGAAAACCTACAACATACCCCAATATGTGCCCCAAGTGGAACATAAGATGAAGGCTTTGCAACAGCTGCTACAGGAAGGTTGACAGGAGTAGTTGCACGAGATCCATTTGTAGGTGAACAAGAATGGTCAATAAATAAAGTTTTGATGTCTGGATTTGACCTCGGGTTCTTGCACAGTTGATGCTGCCAGTTCAAACTGGATAGAAAAAATTGACAACACTTCATAATCATTAATGATTAAAGCACTATGAAAATGGAATAATTTTGTGTAAAGTTCAACACATACAAAAATTGTATACACCTATATTACCTTTGATTAATCAAGGTTCGCAACCTTGATGTCTTAAACGTAGGAAATATAAGCTTATCTCGAAAGAGAGGATTTGCTTCAATCAATTTCTTGAGCTCTATTAGCATTATATTTCGAGCTGATTTAGTATCACCATACTTTGATAACTGTTCATTTTCCCTGCATTCAATCAAAGTCCATATTATCTCAACATCTCTTCAATATATAACATCTCTTTAATCCCTGGTGGACAACATCATACAAAAAACAGAAGGCACACAGTTACCTAAAATTGTTAAGGGTTAGAAGATGTGTTATCTCTTTGAATAAATCCTCGTTAAACGATGAAAAAGCTTTCAAATCATTCACCAGTATTTCAACAGCTCTCACTTTGTCATTCCTGAGCAAAAACATGATCATTTAAACATGAGAAGAGGGAAAAAGAATCCGAACCATAAAATAGTCTAACGAATAACACTCATCAACAAATATTTAAAAAGAAACATAAAGGGTACAACTAGAAGGAGCAACCTATTTTTGTAAGATACAAGTAATTAACAAAATAACAATAACGACCTGTCCAAGGCTTCAAGATACTTCTGCTTCCTAATCTCAAAGAAAATTTTCATGGAGTATCGATTGTCATCAACTTTGGTAAACCCAGTGAGGTATTTCTCAACATCATCCCACTCTCCAGCCAGGACTTTCTCTTCAAAATGCTTCACATTGAAGAACAAACCCGATTCTTGCTCCAACCTGAATCCCAGTACAACACAGAACAAGCACATTTCCAAAATTTTCAATTCACCGCGCGAATTACTCACCATATATAGACTTACATACATGAAGAAGAGGAGCAAACGAATAAACAAAATTTGTAAAAAATAATAAAAAGAAAGAAACGCCTTTACTTGTGCACAGTGTCTCTAAATTTCTCTTCATCGAGAAATTGAAGAATGAGGAACACCAATTCCCTACTCAAAGATGACATTTTTGCCCTCCAAGCGGTGGAATCAGAAGACCCACCGGAGAAAAAATGCCAAGTTTCGGAACTAGGGTTGGGAATTGAACACGGAGAGCAGACAGCAGTTGGTGGGGACGAGGTTTTCGGAAGGCAGGTTGAAACCTATGTCGGTGTTATCTAGTTTTGCAATGGAAGAGCAAAACGGCGGCGTTTAGGGTGGTTAAGCGCAGAGGAAGAAGCGGTTTCTAGGGTTGTTCCGTGACGGTTGCGCGTAGCGAACAGTGAAATCGAAGAAGAAAATTTTTGCACGGAAATTAAAAGAGAAAAGAAAAAAAAAAGAGGAAGAAGTGAGAGTCACAGACAGAGAGAGAAAAGTTATAGCGTTATAGGACTACTAGGTCTCGCTTCTTTCGATGCGTTTTGCAGTGGGTTTTGTTTCACAGTTGTTCCCACCGACTTATCATATATGTCATCGTACTTATACAAACTGATACGTCATACTGCTTATTGCTTCGGAGGAAACAAAGAATGACACGTGGATTGACTTATTTCTATTCCCCAGTCAACAACACGGCACAATTAATTTCTTACTTTTCCAAATTATAATACTTTTTGACTCCTCACGTGCTTTCTAATTTCGTTTTAAATTTTGAAACTAAAGTGAAAGAAAATGTTATTACTACTTTAATTGAAACTAATTAAAAAAATGTCATAATTTTATTCTTTAAATTATATATTTTAATTAATAATAGAGAAGTAAATTTTTTGCTATTTTTATAATAATTTTTATCAATATTTTATAATTTGAATTAATGTTGTTTTTAATTATACATTTACTTTGTTTTATTTTTAAATATTTAAACATTTATTAAATGAATGAAATAATTGCCAACAAAGATAAATGAAAACAATTACTTCTGAAACTGATTTTTATATAAATAAAAACACTAATTATATTTTTAATCGTACAGTATCATTCTTTTAAAGTAAAAACATAGACGAAATAAAAATAGATTTTAATAGATATATAATATTTGTGTAAAAAAATAATTGTTAAATAATTACTAAATATTTTTATTTTAATATAATTTTCAAGATAATTAATATAAAAGTAAAAAAAAAGAGAGAGAGAGAAATTTGTTATATATACCCATTTATAAAGGAAATAGTCTATGCATATATCGTGTAAAAAAATACAATTTTTATCTAATTAAAAATTGTTATTTATTATAAATTTATTGACTTTTAAAAATTAATTGAAAGTTATAATATTGATTTGATTTTGGATTCTCATATACAATATTTTTATTTAGTAAAATATTACTCTTTAATTAAAAATAAGAGAGAGAAAATTTACTGAAAAAAAGAAGAAGGTTCAAACGACACCGCGATGTAACTTTTACTAAATGTTACACTGCTCAATAACTTTATATTAAATGTGAATTTTGAAAATCTAACCCTTAAATTGAAAGTTCATATCTCTTAGATCATATATGTCAAATTTTGTTAAAATTGAACAACAACTTGAAGGTAATCAAAGTGTTCATATTTTAGTCTATTTTGAAATGTATATGGTCTAAGAGATATGAACTTTCAACCTAACGGTTGAATTTTCAAAATTCACATTTAATATAAAGTTATTGAGCGGTCTAACACTTAGTAAAAGTTACACCGGCGTCGTTTGAACCCTTCTCTAAAAAAAACATGTAAGAAAATTTATAGAGATTTTTATTATAGAGAATTTAAGTATCTCTTTATAAAATAATCTATTAAGTATAACTAATAATATGATAAAAAGAAATAAAAAAATATTTGAATAAATTATTATTTGTATGTGATTATTCTAATTATAGTATTTTTTTAATTATATTATTAATATGAAATATCCATTAATTTTATTAATAACTTATTTTTGTCAAAAAAAATTGGTTAACCACCTATAGTGATCTCCTTCTCCAATCATAATTTTTTTATACACAACATTCAAATTTAAAGATACTCTAATTACAATATATTACTCAGATCAAATGACTTGATACACTAATTACAATATATTACTACACACACTATCTATATTAATAATAAAAGAAATTCTCTTTATTAGTATACATATTTTTTAAACAAATTCGTCCTTATAACCATCTCTTAAATTATTATTATTTTTTATCATTTTTATTTAATTTATTTTACTTCTTAAAATTTCTCAAAAACTATCATTACAATTATAATTACTCAATAAATATTGACCGTTTAATCATTAACATTTTTATTTTATTTTTAAAAATATATAAAGTTACAAAGTGCTTCCTCTGAACTTATATATAAGTTAAAAAAACAAGTTTACACTTATTAAAAAAAATTAAATATATTTAATTTTTACGATTTCACATAAAATATACATTACATTTATTATAATATATTTAACTACACTTATAATAAAAAAATACTGTTATTTATTATTTAAGGATATTTTTAATTTAAAATATTAAATAATTATTTACATTTTAATCGAAAAAGTTTAAACATTTTTTTTATACATAAATTTAGAAGAAGTATTTTGTTTTTTTTTTGTTTGTCCTTAGAGTATCCACTGTCGATAGCAGTGACTAATCTCCTTGCTACGTTGGAGGCACTTCAAAGAATATGATAACTGGCCTCAAGATTTAACGTCGCTGCATACACAAAGCAGAATTCAAACTCTTGACCTTGTTTAAGTGTAAATTAACTCCTATTACTAGATTACACACTTGGGATTAGAAGTATTTTGTTATATACTCTAGTTTGGTTTTCAAAATACTAATAAAGGTAATAAATAAGATAGAAGGTGGAATTGAAAGTTGAAAATGAAAGGAGTGGTTGGAGGTTGATGTTGACGATGTTATGGCAACCTTAGCGGATTTTAATGCGTTGGACAAAAGTGACATTATGGAAACCTGCCGTCCTTAATTTCCTAATTAGTGCACGCCTTTGACACATAACCTACTTCGTACCTCCCTCTGTCATCACTCATGCTTTTGTCCCTGTATATCACCTTCTTACTTTTCATTACATAGTAATTAATAATACCTTTATTAAAAGTCATTTAATATCAAATTATTTTTTAAATTAAATTTATTATTCTTTTCAAATTAATTGAATAATAAATATGTTTAATTCATTAATTCTAAAACAACCTTATTTGAAACTTATTTATGATAAAAACATTAATTAATAGTTTAATTACTTATTTCATTCATATTACAGCATAAATTTTATTTTATAGTTCTTACACTTAAAACGTATCTATTATAATGTTTATACAAGTATTTTTTAATTTTTTATCTTTATTGATAAAAAAAGTTAACATTATTTATACCGTTATATAAAAGAGAATACGTGTATAGAAGTGTCAAAATGAATCAATACAATCACTTAAATGGATACATCACAGAATGAGACTTTAAAGAGATTAATATGAGTCAAGAAAATCTCAACTCAACTCGAGTCACTATTATTTAGAAGATTGTGTGGATTGACGCACCAAATTTTTTTAAAATAAAATATCAATATTACTCATTTTTTGTTTAAAAAAATAGTCACAAATTTTTTATTAAATCACTCATTGATTTATATACTAAATAAACTATCATTCAACTGATGTTTTTATTTTTAATTATTGAGGTATAAATTTTTTCATTATATTTAAACTTTTGGTAGATTGGGTGAGCCAACCCAACTATAACTCATTTGGCTCCCAAAATTAATGAAAAAAAATTAACTAAATTAATGTGATGAATTGAGTTAGTCTTTTGAATTATGACTCACTTTAACGCCATTATATTTATCTTAATAATTATTTTTGACCCTACATTTTGTTAGAACATTATACTTTTTAATTAATTAAAAAATGGAAAAAGAATTTTTTTTAATAACTAACATCTTTCTTCATGTAATAATAACAATTATTTTTACATTCTTTCGATAATTACTCGTTTTATTATCTCTTTCATTTTTATTTATTTTTAAAAATCAAGAGACACGAAATGCCTCTTTTCCTATTAATTAATAATTAATAATGTAGCATTAACATCTTATTGAAATAACATTGATGCACTGTGCATTATTGCATTTTCATATTTTTAGTCATTATACTATCACAACATTTATCTTTTATTCTCTACATTTACAAAAACAAAAAATGTATTTGGTCAGGATTTTAAAAGAATTTTAATTTTTTTTCTAAAAAAATCTTGTACTATTTGATATAAAAAAATATTTGATTTATAGTGTTCAATCAAAACAATTAAATTTTTTAAAATAATATGTCAAAATCTAATAATATTTGACTGAGACTCTTACCAAATTAAAAAGTTTTCTAAATTTAGAATACATACAAACTTCAATAGATTATTTTATAAGATAAATTTTGTAAAACTTTTTAATAAAATTTATGCATCATACATTCATTCAACAATCTCACTTAAATTCTTGAGATTTTGTGTAACTTTTTATTTACTTTTTTCTCTTCATCTTCTCAATCTTCTCTCTCACCTCTTCTCTTCCTTCTCTCTTTTTGTCTCTCTCTTTCATCTCTCTCAGTTTTCTTTTTTTCTTTTTTTCTCTATTCTTTCTCTTATTTTTCTTTTATCTATCGATATTAATACAAAATTTATTAATATTTATTATTTAAATTATAAAATTTAAAATTATTTTTGAATTAATAAATATTTTTTATTGTTAATTTTTAAAACTAATAAATATTTAAGGTTTGACTAATATTTACTTATGATAAAGTTAATATTAATATTGATATTTCAAGTTTTTAAGCATATACTAAAAAAATTTACATATGGCAGAAAGTAAATAGTCTTGTTTAAACTAAAAATTTTAAATTAAATTATCTAATTAAAATAATTATATAATAAAATAAATCTAAATTAAAATAATTAAAATATCAAGTATTTAAAATTTTAAAATTTTAAAATTTTCATCTAAACTCAACTTTAGAGAATTTTTGGATTATTTATAAAATTAAATGTGAAATGTACCTTTGAATAAGTAAAAAAGATAAAATATTGAAAGCATGTGATTGTGAGAGTGAAAGTCTTACTCTTTAAGTTATATTAAAAATATTATATTGTTGTTGTTATTGTAATATATGTTGTATATTTTGAAATATTTCAAAAAAGGTTAATTAATTTGTGAAATTAATTTGAATCTAAAATTAATTTAAAATAATTAATTCAAAATAATTATTTTATTAATTATTGGTATTAAAGCCTAATTAATATCAATTTTAATGAGATATAATAACCTGACCATTGTAGTTTTAATCAATTGATTTTAATTATCATGATTAAATGACCGTGTTAAGGATAATAAGATATCAATTGGTCGTGAGCCTCTTGGAGAGTGATGAGTTTAGA